TTTGATATTTTCCGGTTACGATCGTAATCGTTTCACATTACTCGTACCCGTAACTGCTGACCGTAACCGGGCTACGGTTACGGTCGTATTCGTAAGCTTACTCGTCACCGTAAGTGTAAACCGTAATCGAACTCCGGTTACGATCGTAATCGTAAATTTTAACCGTAACCGGAGCAAATTACGACCGTAATCGTAAATTTTGACCGTAACCGTAGCAAATTACGGCCGTAATCGTAAATTCTAGCCGTAACCGTAATCAGAATTTTCGGCTGGGATCCGAAGGCGGTAAAGTAACTTCTTTGTTTCTTGCAACCCACCTTTGCAATTCCCTTCACCTACTGCGAGGAAAGAATAAGCCGTTTGGTCTGATCGGGTGCGGGGGCTTGAGGGCTAATGATCTTCCCTTTCCTGCGCCTGAGTGACCCTACCACGCCTCGCCACGCCCCGCCACGCCGCGCCTCGCCCCGCCCACGCTCGACTGGCGCTACGGGATTTGTGGGTCGGGAAGTCTTCTGTCTTTCTCTTCCCCCTTTCGCCGGCGGGCTTCTCCATGAATCTCCATCGCACCCCCACTCTCAGCCAGGCTGTCAGACGCCCCCCGCCCTCTCCACCCACCTCTCTCTCTCCCTGCCTCTGACTTCTCCGCCTGGAGGCACCAAGATCCGACCCATGGCCCTGCCGGGGGCCATGGGGACAGCGCGTGTATAGCCCTGCTGGACTTGACCCGTCACACTGTCAAAAACAAGGTGGTGAGGCGCCAAACCTTCCGTACGTGTCACGCCCCAATTCAGTTGGAAACGCGGAGAGAAATAGGGATGTGTGTGTAATACATACTACTGAGTAATGGAAATATATTTTTCTCTGATATGACAGAGCGCGCCCATTCAGATGCACAACTAGAGCGTTGCACAGAAAATGCAGCACTGCAAACTGAATGGTGCGATGCGCTTGCACCGAGCTGAGGATCCCACCCGGTGACTTTTGCTTTCTCACGCCCGTGCCGTTGTTCCTTTTCGCCGGAGGACGGCTCGGCTGGCAGCCTTCTCGGGAGAGGAAGGGGTTTCCGTTGATGTGTCGTCGCTCAGTGAGAACGCCAACAGACTGAGTCATCATCAGCTCCACTGTGTGCAAGTTTCAACTGTGGCCGCGAGATTTTCACCCCCTTAAAAACTCCGAAATTTCCTTACCTAAACCGAATTTTTAGAATTCTAATTAAAAATAATGAAAAAAAAAACAGTGAGAGGACTTTAATTGGCTGATCGGCTAATAAAAGTTGAAATAAAGTGGAAAAATGGCATTTTAAAACGACACCTACCAAAACCAGCTCTGAAAATAGGTAAACTATTCCAGTGATGAGAATTTTTCTCATTTAATTTATGTTTAGTTCTTGTAAAAAGGTCGATGTTCGTGTTTCCCTCGAAAATGTTCGACAAGTGCAAGTTGGTTTTCATTAAAATATGGAATATTTCTGTACGTGGATCGAGAGACGGTATTGCAGCGTTACGAGTATGACTTGACTGGCTATACTTTGCACAAGATGCCTACATCGGACTCTACTTTGCTAGCGTGCTCTTCGAAGCGACGTGGACAGACAAGGCGACAGGTGTCGCATCACTCGCCTGTCGCGCGCACACTCACACAAGGGAGAGAGAGAGAGAGGCGCGATGCATTGTCTCGGAGCTGACAAGGCGGTGACGTTACATTACCCTCTCACGCAAAGCTGCATACCTGACTCGGCTCACACACAGAGAATGTGTTAAGCAGCTATGGAGACATGACGTGTTAAATTTTTTGACCAGCAATTTATTTACGAACTCGTGCAGTGCTTGTCCGTACCTTACTCCTAGGTTGCGATTTTAAAGGGGAAGGATCTTTAAAAAGAGACCCCTCTTTCAGAAGGTTCTTGCTGCACGACTTTTCCTTCTTTGCAGAATGATATATATTTCCGCACCCCGCTCAGCACCTTAAACCGCTTCTTTTGCACCAAGCACTTTCACAGCTGTGAAACCCTGTGAAACGAGTGTAGCTCAAACAAGTCTTTAACCCGAGGTTTATCTAAGAGTGCTAAGCATTTTCTTGCCCAGTTTTCAAAAGGTGTCTATAGACTCTAATTTAAGCTAAGGCATCCCGTATTGTATCGCCCGGTTACTCTTAGCAACAGTGATGAAACTTTTTCTGACTCAATCAACTTGAATCCGAAAAATGTCTTTTGACAATTTTTTTCTAGTGCGTAGACAAAGTCCTTCCTTTCTTGTCTTCTTTGATATTTTTCTTTCGCCAGCAACAAACGTTATACGTTGGAGCTTTTAGTTGTCATGCCGTTTG